TACAACACTCCTGATGAAGAAATTGAAAATCAATTAGAAATGCCAAAAATTATTTATAACAGTGCATCAAGTAAAATTAATTATTTGCATTGTTTAGCATTACTTTGTGCCCTGCCGATCTTTATTTATTATTTAAAACAATTCAAGTAACTCAAGCTTTAATCATTTTTAAGAAAAAATCTTTGGTTTCCAGAAAACGTTACAAGTTTCCTTGTAGGCGTCCTTGACCATTTTCAAGTCGGCCGTATCGAGGTTCATGTGNAATGACGTCCAGGCGCTGATCATCTCCTGGCTCATCTTGTAGTCAGCTGGGTGGGATTTGGTGTAGTGCACGCCAAAGAGGTACACGACGTCCTCGCCGTGGCAGACGCCTCTCTGAAAAACAGAAAAGTTAGTTTTTCTAAACAAAAAGGAAACAGAAGTTTACCCATCCATTGCAGCCACCAGCCAGCGGAAATGGCGTTTTACCATGCTGAGTGAGCCGGTACGAGTAGTGCTTCTTGCTCGGAGATCCCTTGGCAATTGCCTCTCCAAACAAAATAGTGGGGCACATCAGCCATGGANGTAGTGTTTCTTGCTGGAAGATCCCTTCGCAATTGCCTCTCCAAACAAAATAGTCGGGCACATCAACCAGGGATCGGCAAATGCGTGACTGATGACTTGTCTAAGAAAAATAAAAGCAAAACAAAAAAGTTGGCAAATCATTGTGTACACCATCTTTCTTACTTTAGCTCCGTCTGACTGGCGTCGCTTTTCAGGTGCTTTGTGTAAAAGTCTGCCACCTCAAGGGCGTAGCTCTTGCCCAGTGACACCTTCAGAATGTACTCCTTGACCTTCTCCACAGTGAGCACTGTGCTGTTGGAGTCAAGCTCCTTGAAGGCAAGGCCGGCAAAGAAGGTGCCCTCGTCCTTTGTCACACCGTACATAAAGTCGATATCCTTGTGAAACCGGCCAGCATTCAGTTCGGTGACAAAGTTCTCAAAGGGCAGCATTTGATCGCCGAGAATGGCTCCGGGAACGGCACTTAGCGCCTCAAGCGTTTTCTGGGCGGCCAAAATCTGGTCGATGCTTTTGCCCTTCAGACAGGTTAGAGTGTTGGCAATTTTATCGGTGGGACAGGCGAGCAGCTGGGCGACCAGCTCAGTTCGCTTGTGCGGCTGTGTGACGGAGTTTTTGTTGGCGTTGGTCGGCGCCCCTGACTGCAGAATTGCTCGTTGAAAGAGACCTTTGGTCAGTGGTGAGACAGAGAAAGCGGAGATGGGAAAGACGCCCGCTGATTCACCGAAAATCTGGTGCAAATATTGTTGATAAGATTTTATGACAATATTTTGTAAACAAACTCACCGTAACCTTCTTCGGATCACCACCAAATGNCCACCAAAAGCATGAATATTTTCATGCACCCATTTCAATGCCAGGTACTGGTCCCAGACTGCTTGGTTACCAGGAGCTTCGGTGGTATTTCCGTAGAGGTACCCTAGAACTCCTAATCTCGAGTTGACCGTCACGACGACCACATCCCTACTGGCCAGGTAGCGACCGTCGTACATAGTCGTGAAGATGGTGCCGCTGACAAAACTGCCTCCGTGGTAGTAGACCATAACTGCTCGATTGGCCTTCTCCTTCTGTGGTCGCCAGACGCTGACAAAGAGACAGTCCTCACTCATCGTCTTTGTCTGGGCATTAGGATCATTGTACGGCGGAAAGCTAAAGCCATTCTGAGGACAGGCATCTCTCCAGTGGGTGGCATTGTAAACGTCGGTCCAGGGTTTAACTGGAACTGGTTTGGCAAATCGAGCAGCATGGCCGTAGCGGATTCCCTGGTAAAGTTTTTGCTTGGGTTAGTAAAAATATAAACTAACAACAGTTTTTACCTGGTACGCCAACACCTTCGAACCATCATCACTCTGCACCACAGTGCCTCTCACTTTGCCATCTTTAAGTTGTACAACCGGTGCAAGCTCTTCTGCTTTAGAAAAGCTCAGTTCAGCGGCCAAAACTAGAAAGGTAAGTAAAAGATGACTCCAGCTGTGATGCTTCATTTTGGCTAAATTGTCAAACTTGGCCTAATTGAGCGACTGTGCTACATTTAAATACAACATTTGCACTATTAGTATAATGCGATTATGTATCATATCAAATTCATATCAATTTGAGTAATTAAAAATATATTAGTGTGTGTGGCTAAAATGCAAAAAGCATTGCCATTTTTAGTGACTAATACTCTGCCAGTTAGTATTAGGACAAAATTATGCACAACAGATGAACAAACACTGCTACGTTTTGGGCCTCATTTATTAAAAAACTCAATGAAAATTTAACTAATTAATTGTATAAAGTGTTTTTGAGCAGATTATTATTATTTAGGTTATTATTTGATACCAAAAATTAATTAAAAAACGACCTTTGTTCAGACAACCAAAAAACTAAAATTAGTGTAAAGTGCGCTTTTACAACAAACTGATTACAAAACTTAATTCATTAAGGCAAGACTCTGTCAAACTTTTTAATTTTACATGTCTCTAATAGTTTCCATGTAAAATTTTTGAAGAACTTCTGCTTCAAGATACTGTTCTCAAAAATTGCAAGTCATCAAACGAACTCAATAAATGTCAAAAACAGTCAAGCCTTCTTCTTTGAGGACTTTTTCGGAGCACGAACGGAAGTACTGAGACTTTTTGCTCTGGCGGCGGCCATTGATCGTGTCTTGAGAATTTTGGTGCCCTTGCTGATGGCCTGGTCGATCTTGGTGTAGTCCAACTTGGGAGCGCCACTTTTTCCTCCAGCGCCGCTTGATTTGGCCGCCGCCGACGCTTTGGTGGTCGACTTTCGACTTCTTTTACTTCGACCTTGACCGCCCCTCTTCTTCTTCGAAGCCGTTCGGGAAAGCTGCAGACCTCGACTTGTTGCCTTCTTTGACTTCTTCTTCTCCTTCAAATTTTGCCCAGTCGAGGGGCCAGACTTGGCCGACTTGATGTTTTGCTTCAGATTCTGCTGGTTCGATTTGGTGGTCATGTTCGGTGTAGAGCTGATGTTTGCGCTGCTCTCCTGTGTCACCTTGACCTTGACCTTGGCTGGCGAGAGCTGGCGATTTTTCACCGTCGCCGAAGTGCTCACCGTTTTCTTCTTCCTCATTGANAGTCATGTTCGGCGTAGAGCTGATATTTGCGCTGCTCTCCTGTGTCACCTTGACCTTGACCTTGGCTGGCGAGAGCTGGCGATTTTTCACCGTCGCCGAAGTGCTCACCGTTTTCTTCTTCCTCATTGAAACTGTTTTCGCTGAAACGCTCTCAAAGTTGACATTCTTTCCGCTGACCGCCGTTGACTGCTGCTGAATTCGCTTTCCTTTAACACTCATCTTTGTTGACACTTGCCGTTTTGATCNAAACGCTCTCAAAGTTGACATTCTTTCCGCTGACCGCCGTTGACTGCTGCTGAATTCGCTTTCCTTTAACACTCATCTTTGTTGACACTTGCCGTTTTGATCCCTGAACACTTCCTTTGCCGCTTTCTTTACTTTCTTTACCTCCTTTTCCCTTTCCTTTTCCAGCACCGCCATTGTTGTTGAAGACGAGGATAATGGGGTGACAGCAGAAGAAGCAGAGACAAAGGAGCAGCAGAATGAGCGCCAGCAGGCCGATGACAGTGGGCGTGTTCGAAGACCGACCAGTGGTGGTGGTCACATTCCCCAGGTCAGGGTCGAAGGTCACGGTGGACAATTCCATCTTTCTTTTGCTTTTTTGAAGAGACTCAATGACTGGACAAACTGGAAAGAGGTAGGTGTTTAAATAATTTTTTTCTCAAGTTCTAAATTCTCTCATTTGAGTTTTTTTAGTTTGCCAAGCACTTTCCACCACCAAACAAGCGGCCAACCGCCATGATCATCACTTAGCAAACATCAGCTTTTTGGCTGCTATCATCTTTCTCTTTTTCTTTCTCCTCGGCAACAGACGACTCGTCGTTGTCCAACGTTGCTGTGTCGTTTTGCTCTCTCACTTGAAAGAAAGAAGAGAAAAAGAAAAAGAAGCAAACGAGTGAGCGGCAGCAGACGACAGCAAAACGTTTTCCCTCTTTCTCTTCTCTCTTTTGCAGAGGCAGTAAAAGTAGAAGAGGAGGCAAAAGCAGCTGTATAAGTAGTTGGCAGCAACGCACAAAGAGCCAGCCAAGCCCAGCTTTTTTGGCGGCACCCAAGGAGCGATAGAAAACAACAAACAGGGGCCAAAGATCTTTGAGTCCTAAAAACCCAGCTCAAAACTTACAAGTTTATGCTAGGCACTGACACGACCAGCACAACAACAACCACAAACGACACTTCAATCGACTCTCTACCTCCAAAACTTCTCCAGCAAATCTTCAGCCACCTTCCCCTCGGCACCCTTCTTCGTCTGCACCTCGTCTGCAAAGCCTGGGCCACCGTACAACACACTCTCTGCGCCTCACTTCACACTCTCTGCCTTTGCATCGGCGACGACGTCGACGACGATCATGAAATCCTTCTAAACTCGCAGTTCTCTTCCTCCTCCTTCTCTATTCCTCATGTCGAAGTTCTAAGCTCCAGTGATGATGAAGTTGTAAACAGCCTTTCTACCAGCTTTTCTGCTCATTCTCAAACCTTTTCTTCTTCTCTGCAATTCGCCTGGCTCGACGTCGAAGCCGCCTGCCTGATTGTCAACAAACTGCCCAACATCCGCTCGCTGACTCTTCGCCTTCAGTCCGCCCGGCTGGAGGTGACCGTCGGCGAGCGGTCATGGCGGTGGCGACTGAGGCTGCTCGACTCGCTCGAAGTCCTCTTCCAGAAGTGGTCCGGCCAGCTAGTCAGCCTGAAGCTCTTCGCCCACTTCAAGGTGGCCGCCGCCGAGCCGGGCTCACTAATCGTCACTGAGTCTGTGGACGGCCTCTTTCGCCTGGTCAACGGCTGCTCGGCGTTGCGTCATCT